TTCATCCGTTTCTCGTCCAATTCGATACGTTCATTTCATTCGCTTTCCTCGAGAATGTTTAACGAGTCTGAAACGTGGTTTATTGAAAGCCAGAAGATTACTTTGGACCTGGATGCTCTTGTATTACTCGTTATCACGGTTTTACCGATAACGAGCAGGGCGTGGGTGGTGCACGGTAGAGGAGAATGAACTCGATAGACCGCGTAAAGATTTATAAGTGTCTTCTTCGTCCGCGCGAAGACCGCTACGAGCGCTGTCTTTACGATTTTATGAATTTCCGTGTTACGATCGATCTTTTTATACACCTGGTACCGCGTATCGAGGCAGTACGTATATCGACGGAACAGAGATACTGTTTGTTCGTCGCTTTAAAGCGGAAACTTGTCTTTAGAAAACGAAAGAACACGGAACAAGAAGAAACAAACTATTCTTCCTTGTTCGAATCGCGAGAGACGAGGAGAAAATAGAGACGAGATACGTCGATTCAAGTGTATCTCTCGCTTCGATCGAGAGGCACTCCGTCGAGAGAAGAGAAGCCGCAACTATTTTCTACGTTGCTTTCATACCGTCGAGACGAAAATACACCCGATGGTACTCGTTTCAGCGCAGACGTTTCTTAAATAAGCAGCTAGAGCCGGTCGGGAAAGTCACTTCGAAAAAGAGAAATGCACGGAACGAGTCACGCTTCTCTCTTCCGCTACTTCCGGGCCACTCATCGCTTATTGTCGTCCGTTTCCGTAGAGAAACAACGCTTTGAAAGCTCCGTTTCTGTACGCGTTAGATCGACTCTTTCGCTTAATTCCAAAACGATCTATTACGTCCGCAAAGAAATTGTACCTTAACATTATGTTCGAGGAGGAGAGCTTTCGCGATTTATATGCCTACCTATATTTTTCGTTTGATTAAGAGCAACGCGCAACTGAGACATTTATTGTCAGTCGCTAACACGAGAGTTATGCCGATGATCCTTCTTTTTTTTCGTTTAATGGCATCCATCCCAGAATTAACCGAATCAGCTTGATATACGCTCACGCACAAACGTTTTGACCCGATGCGTTTCGTGTCGGCTGCTTCCATGCCGTTCGTTCACTCTTTATAAATAGACGCTTGAAATTCTGTCGCGTCTGGGCGTGGCAGGCCAAAGATCTACAAGGATCCTAGATACGGAATAGATCATTCGTCGCGATCCATTCATTAACTAGGAAATATACTCGTTTCGTTTCGGCTGTTTTTACTTGTTCGTTTTTATCGATCGCTCTTTTCCTAACGAACGTTTCCACCACTTTTTTTAATCCTCTGTACAGCTCTTTTACAACATTGATTCAACGTACCGACTTGAAAATTTGTCGACGACCGCATACATCCTTTTTCAAACACCCTATATCGATCGTGTTCGATATTTAAATAATATTTATAGGTTTTTTGTGTTTTGTTTGCAGATATTCGGGGCACGGCAACACGAACCGTATCTATCATGTCGGTTCCTATTTAAAGTGAGTACTGTTCAGTTTCGTTTGTTCGTATTTTATCAACGTAGAACGATAATTCCGAAAACAGTCATGTTATTTTATCAAACACTGTCTTCATCGTCAAGGTTTTCCTGTTTTATTTAAACGTTTGTACAATTTTATTTTCGCCCAGAGAACTTGTCGAACGAAAAGGAAAAAGAAAAATGCAACGTGGTTAGTATTTCATCGTTGCTTAAAGCTATAAAAAGCATGGAAACTGGTGTTTTGAATCGAGTCGTCGTAGCTAGATATTTGAACGTCAAGAGAATAATCGATGCCTCGATATAGTCGGTTGCGCGGCTGTAATTGTTCGGTAGAACCGGAAGCGTGCAATTACGCGTCGATTTTCCAGCTCTCAGCCTCCATCGTGGTCGAACGATTCGCGAATCGTGAAAAATTATCTGTTGCGATTCGCCGATTTTGATTATAACCATTTTCGAAGAGACACGAGCGTTCGTTAAAAGCGAGAAGCAGTTCGAGGACTTCGATCTCAACAGCATCGATAAATAGAGTCGCGTTTCACTTTTCGATGTTTGACACAATAATTAAAGCTGCATCCTACGGTGAATCATACGTGCGCACTTTCTCTCTTATTCTCTGGAGGACGTTTCCAAAGTACTCATTTATTAATCATGAAATGCGCGTTAACTTGTCATTACGCGCGCAACTTAATAACGCGTCCGCCGAAAGATCTTTCATAACATGCGAGAGTAAATTAATCTTAAATTGCAAACAGTTTATCGCGAAAGTGTCCCTTTCAAGCCAGAAGAAAATGTGAAGAGGACGATTATAAATATCTGGAAACCTTCGCGTTCTTAGGAAAGGGTTAAAGGTTAACGCAAAATAACAGCTGCGGTAATTCGAGGTCATGATAACATCCGCATAAATTGATTAGAGCATTCGTAAAATAAATTAGATAACGGATAGAAGAGATATTTTATACGATGGTCAGCCAACACGTGGCCGCAGAACACGCGAGGATCGAACGCGCAGCGACCGATAACGCTTGATCGTGGAACGCGCGCTGCTGCGAAATAAAGATGGCAATATAACGAGGGTTTATTGCATAACACGAGGCAATTGATCGGACGACTTTAGACGGTGGCGATAGAGGAAGAGCAACTGGGGGATATTCGAAAGGTCATCCAGAGTGTAAAAGGTGTAACGCGATCTGTGAGGATACCTTAACGAGAACCGGCAGCGTTAATTTCGCTCGACAACCTTGCGCGTCCCGCGGTGCTGAACACGGATCAGACGTGCTCGTCAGCTGTGCGAAGGTCAGGGTCATCCGGCAGCAGCAGCAGCAGCAGAGGGTGCAATCGATGCATGGATACCGTCTCGTTTCAGCACCCCTCGCTCTCTCGCTGCAGTTACCATGGAGACCATCTCCTGACCCATTGCTACAGAGAGAACCCGTCGACACGGAGAGGTCGGAACGGCTGGTTCGTCTCTCGGTGAGCGTGTCGCAGACAAGGAACCTTCGCTCTACACGGACACGTACCCTCACGAGGGACACGCTCGCGTCCGAGCGTCTTTCTACTTCCGCGTGTAATACTTTCCTTCTTGGAAAAACTGTTCGCTCGAGTAAACGAACTTCTTTCGAATTATCCGACGGGTCGATTCGAATTACCGAGCGATTAGTTCGTGGAAGTAAGATCCAGTGACCTTGTAACTTGGAACCGACCGATGGAAACACGAAGAAGGAGGCACCGAGCGACGTTGAGCGTAATACTCTCGGCCTGTTTTTCTTTCGGCCTGAAGCGGTTCATTGCCGAAGAACATTCACGCGATACTATCGGATTCTCGTCGATACGCTTTTCGACGTATCCGTTCTAATTAACGAGTGATCAGTGAAAAGTGGCAGTCTCCGAGAAGAATTTCGAGATCAACGGTCAACGTTGCAACGACCTAACTGACCAGTTTTTATCGCGACAACGAAATTATATTTTGCTTATGCAAACGTTCTTTTCGAGTCTTCTTTCGCTCGCCACGCTTTTGTAACCCATTGTGTCGGTTTAAAGAGATACCAACGAGAAAGCGTACGTTTAATTCGAGCAACGAATTCAGCACCTAGTGTTCCCAGCGGAACCGGTCGTTGGGTACAAGGTCGGTGTGAACGGAGACTAAGGTCAGCTGGTACAGATCGATATCCTCGAATTGTCTGAGTATAGTTGGCGTGTTTCGTGCAACTATAGAAGGGGAATTGGTGGTCGTGATCGCGAAATCGCGACGCGAAAGAGATGGACGGTTGGAAGAGTTGGAAAAGAGCGGAGAATTCCTTTCTCACGGCATGGTATCAACGCGTCAGAGAGTCTTACGTCGCGGTCTGGTTCTTCGGGGTGTTTCAGAACAGCAGGATGTCGACGAGCACCGCCACCGGGGGCGGCGGTG